CCCCCCCCTTCGGGCTGTTCCCTTCTTCTCCCCCCCCCTATCGCTGAGCGCATGTGACGCACCAAACATCCCCCTGCAAAAAGGGAGAGAACCCAGGAGTCCTGGCTCCCAGCCCCCCGCCCCCCAGCTGTAACCACTAGACCCCACTCGCCTCCCAGAGCCCGGGGAGAGATCCCAGGAGTCCTGGCTCCCAGACCACGTCCCCCCCCAGCCTTGTTCCCCGGGGTCAGGGTCTCTGGGTTCCTGTTTTTGGGGCTCAACGGCAGATCCGGTCCGAGCCGGTTCCCTGGGCCAGGAACAGGTGGGGGGGGGGGGGTTGGTTTATGAGCTAGGGCTGGGAACAGGCTGGGGGTCAGCAGGTTCGGGGTGGGGAGCCTCGTAAAGGGGCCGTCTGGGACTGGCTGAGCCCTGGGGTGGGGGCACTGGGTGCAGCTCGGCGGGGGGGTGGGGGCACTGGGAGCAGCTGGGCCCATGTGGAGACATGGGGGGGGGGGTCAGGTGGTGTCATGGAGTGTGGGGGAGTCCGGGCCCTGCACCTTCCCCCACTTCCTGCAATTCACCGGGACTCTCCGCCGGCCGGTGACACAGGTTTATTAGCCGACAGGAACAGCCCAAACCAGAGCTTGTGGGTACAGAGACCAGGACCCCTCAGTCCGGTACCTCTTGGGGGGTGGGGAGCCCAGACCCACATCTGAGCCTCCCTCCCCCACCCCATTTCCCAGCCATCTCCAAACTGACACCCCCTCCAGCCCCTCCTCTGGCCTTTGTCTCTTTCCCGGGCCAGGAGCCACCTGATCTCCTTGTTCTCCACCTTCAGTTGGCACCTTGCAGGGGAGGGGCCCAGGCCACCAGTTGCCAGGAGCAGGGCCAGGCCTTGTCACCGCCGGTGCACCGTCCCGGGGCTGCCGGCTCCCAGCAGGGGCTGGAGCCCCAGGCCCTTTAAATTGCCACCAGAGCCCCACTGCTGGAGCCCTGGGATAGCGGGGGGCTCCAGGGGCTATTTAAAGGGCCGGGGCGGTAGAAGCAGGGGAGCCCCGGCCCTGCCCACAGCCAGCCCCTGCTGCACCCCCTGCCCGCACCAGCCCTGCACCCCCTGCCCTGCCCGCACCAGCTCCTGTCTCCAGCCAGCCCCTGCTGCACCTGCCCTGCCTGCACCAGCCCTGCACCCCCTGCCCTGCCCGCACCAGCTCCTGTCTCCAGCCAGCCCCTGCTGCACCCCCTGCCTGCACCAGCCCTGCACCCCCTGCCCTGCCCGCACCAGCCCCGCACCTCTTGCCCTGCCTCCAGCCAGACCCTACCTCCAGTCAGCCCCTGCCCTGCCCTGCCGCCAGCCAGCAATGTACCTAATATATAATTTTGTTATTATTTATATAGTTATGGAAAGTAAATAATAAATGGAAGAAATGAAAGGGTTTTTTTTATGTCTTTTTTAGTCATCCCTGCCGGGGCCCCGCCGAAAATGTTCAAATTGGGCCCCGCACTTCCTAAAGCCGGCCCTGGCCAGGAGACAGGGTGTCGGGCATCACACTGGCCCTCTAAG